CACTGGGAATGCAGAGATCTTGGTGAAGCCAAAGAATTCCTTCGCATGCGGATTAATCGTCATGGCAAAAAGATCTATATTGATCAATGCGCCTACCTTGACAAAGTCCTTAAGCGTTGCGGTATGGAAAATGCTAAAATGGCTGATACACCACTTCCTGCAGGGTTCCAACCTGAACCCACCATAGGCCAATCGAATTCTGCTCTTCGTAGCAAGTTTCAAATGGTTATTGGTTCCCTTCTCTACCTTATGTTGGGTACACGTCCCGACATCTCCTTTGCTGTTACCAAGCTTGCACAACATGCAGCTAACCCATCTCAAGAGCACCTTAACAAGGCACTCTATATTTGCCGCTACCTCCTAGGTACTAGATCATATGCACTTTGCTATGATGGTGAATCGGGTATCGGTCTCAGCGCTTGGACTGATTCGGATTGGGCTTCCGATCCCTATACACGCCGGTCACAGACTGGATTTTTCATGAAGCTTGCCAATGGCATCTTCTCTTGGACCAGCCATGCGCAGAAGACAATTGCTCACTCGTCTACAGAGGCTGAGTATATGGCATTGTCTGATTGCAGCCGTCAAGTGGTTTGGATCCGTAATCTACTTGAAGAACTAGGCTATAAACTTGACGCTATTCCTATTGCTGGAGACAATCAAGGATCCATTTTCATGGCATCAAATCCTGTCACTAGCAAGCACTCGAAACACATTGACATCCGGTATCATTATATCCGTGAAGTTGTCGAACGTGGCCTTGTGCAAGTATTCTTCGTAGATGGTAGTAACAACCCTGCAGATCTTTTCACAAAGAATCTTGGGCGTATCAAATTTGAGCTATTCCGCTCAATGCTTGGACTTGAGTTCTACTCGTCCACCAATCCTTAGGCTGTCTGTCCTGTCTGACGCCTACCGCTATTGCTTTGAGCAAAGTACTTTACTGTGCTGCTCAGCAAGGGGGTGTGTTGAACGCGGCTATGCTGTTCACATGCCACTATTATGATCATGTGTTATAATATATCATATGTAGTCATATCTAGTCATTTACTATATGCGGATTCCTCTGTACTTCCTTATGTAATACTGTCATACAGTTATGTATATAAACAGGCCATATCCTGTACTGGAATCCAACTCGCTTCTCTCTTACTTTTATTGCCTCACTGAGACACTAAGCTCTACTACCAGGTATGGTACTGGAGGGTGTTCCCACTACGCACTCCTTGCCTGCTCAACACCCTCTTCATTGGTGCATGTTTGCCCTTGACATGGCAGTTCCCCATTATGAAGGATTTGGTCCTGGCTGTCCCCTCTCTAAATTTGCTTATGCAACTTTGCAAGGCAATGATGCTGGATTTCATCTACTTCATTACTGATACCCCCCTGCTGGGGTCGGTTCTCCCCTCCCACTGTACCGCTCTTCCTTTCCAACCTGGCTACCTCTGCCACCTCCTCTTCTCCATCTACTCCTCTTTTTGGCTCCCTGCCGCTGAAGGCAACAACAATGACATCTACTTGTTGATGCAGGATAGTGGGCATCATGCATGTTGGGTTGGGGGTGGAGTGGAAGCAATGGAAGTTGATTCAGAGTTCCCTACCAAAGACAAGCTGTCCATAGTATAGACAAACCTTGATTAGCTGTGATCCATTGAATTTTGAAATATATTTTGTTAATTCTAATGTGCTGTGAGTGTATTTTGCAAAAAAGTGAGTTTTGTAGCTTTTATGGAATTGTTTAGTTTAGGATGTTTACTTTGCTCCTGTGATGTTCAATGCTCCTCAAACCTGCCCACTGTATATTTTGCAAAAGAACTTGCAATGGTCAAGGTATACACCAAGAAGTGGGGAGCTCATCCAGACCTGGATGATCCTGTCTGTCTATGTAAAGGCTCGACTATCGAGGTGAAAGATCTTTGTTTGATACCAATGAAGCCATTCTCAAGATGCTGAAATTGCAGACGGTCTGTAATACAATCCATAGATATTTAGCACCAAACTTCAGATATGCTCTTGTCTGGTCAGTGTCGTTTAACATTCAACACCGAGAAGCCCTCATTCACTTCTGTACGTAGGGATAAATCAAGCAAGTTTTCACCACATGCACAGAAAGTGAGCTTAGCGCATGCTGTACAAGATGAGGATGTTGTTTCAAGTGTGTGTTTCTTACAGTTTTTGAGACCAGGTAATCCAAACTGATATAAAGCAGAAGTGTCAGAAGGCTCGGAGTTTATGTCGCAGAAAATTTTTTGCTCGCTTTAAACCCATTTCGCAACTAATCACTAGACTCTGGGGGGTGCGAGCTATTTTGTCTACTTGTTCGGGGCTGATGGAGTCATTTTATTGTATACATCTAAGCCATATGAGCAGGGGTTTGGTGATAAAGAAAGGCGGGTGATGAACAGATACAAGGAACGTATTTTCGATTTCCTGTAAGCGGCAGGAATCAAATTGGGATCTCTCCCAAAGTCCCAGGTGAACACACCTATAAGGACATCAATAAATTCATCTGTGGTAATCTAACATGTGATTTAGAACAACTATCAGAGACTGAAGCTTCAATGCTCACATCTTCACGAATCATGACATCGCAATTGTGAAGCTTATCTGAAGCAAATGAGTACACTGGGAGAAACAAAGATCTCATACTGACTGACATCCAGCAAGTATGGTTCAGATCGTTTTCTCATCCGTCTTCGTTAATTTGACTGTCGTGTTGAACTGGGCTTCGTTCCTGTTGTTGATAATACGCACTGCCTTGTCAAGAAATTCTGGCCATTTCTCCGTGAGCGTTTCCCAGCTCATTTTCTGGAACTCTTCCGAGTCCTCCCCCAGTTTTGGCGCACACAAGCGTTTCAGAATGTGGAGCAGGATTTTGTTGGTCCCTTCCAGTAAGCCATTGACCAAGGGTGAGTATGCAGGAGTGAGGTGCTGTTTGGTGCCCCATTTCGCACACAACGCTTCTACCTGCTTGTTGGCAAAGTGAGATCCGTTCTCAGTCATGAATGTTTCAGGCAGGAGGTATCCGCCAAAGAGGGAAGTTAGGCTAGATGTCGTTGTGGCTCCGGACCCTGTGACCTTGAACTTGAAGGCCCATACATGCTGAGAATATATATCCAGATACAGATCCACAGTTTTGTACCCTCCCTTGGCTTTTGACATTGATAGGTAGTCCCCCACTAGTAGTTCAAATGGGTGGCGTCGGGTAATGGGGTTGAGGAGTGCATGGATGTGGGTAGCACCAAAGTTTTTGAATTCCGGACAAGTGGTAATGGCCTCCATGACCGACTCATCTAGCTTCAGACTCCACATCCTGTCAATTAGCGCCAAATTTACTGAGTCACGTTCCCAATGGCCTGCCTCCCCATGTTGGACATCCGCCAGCTCCACAGCTTCCTTCCATGTGACACACTCTACTGTTGCCCTCTGTCGTATCCCGGCATTGCCCCCCACCTTCCATAGCCGATTACCCTCCACCATGTAGCAAGCAGCTTTGCTTTGTTGTCCTTGGGACTCTCCAGCACCCTCAGTGCATCTATTACCTCCCTGAACACTGGCTGTTCGGCAAAGCGCTCCGCGAGAGTCTTGCAATTTGTTACCGCCTCACTCCCCATTATCCCCTTAGCAATGGTTACCCCAAATACACCGTTAATTAATCCTGTGACTGCTTCCCAGTCCTCACTCACGGTCCACTCGCTTCTATCTCCCATTACTCGGTCCTGGCCCTCCCACATTCTGCTCAAGCCGTCCGCCACCACGTTTAGTTTACCCGGAATGTGCCTCACATCCACGATGTGGTGAGCCAACACCAAAAGTAACCGTTACTCTCAATGTAGAATGGTGTGTAAGGGCGAGATTCTTGGTCCAGTTTGCATGCATAGAAACCAGATGTGAAGTCAGATAAGCAGATGAAAGTGTGGCCACTGAGGGCTTGTTGTTTGGACCTTATGTTGCCTTGGGGCATTGGCTCAATATCAGTGACCTTATTGACAGCCATGAAATTTTGACATATCCTCCACTTGGCCGGCTTAGATGATCCTGTGTGTTTCGTCAGCTTCGGAGGCTGTACTGGACGAGTGGGAAGATCAAAGGACACGGGAAGACCCACAGCCACTCATTCGTCATTCAGCCTGTGCATTAGCTCTTCCACTGTAAGTCCTGTCACCTCGTGGGCCTTCTATGCCAGCGTCAACAGTGAGATGCGTTTCACATCCTCCGGGTTGCATCTCTTTATCACCTCTGCCTCGAGGAGTTCATTGATTTTAGCATGCAGGTATCTGCGCTGCAGTGGAGTTACGGTTTTTTGTCGGACTTTTTTCAGAAAGGTTATTCACTCAGGTATGTTCAGGCAATGGATCACATTCTTCACTGGTTTGGCCTCGCACACAGATACTGCAAAGCAGTTGGCATATGTGCTTAAGAGGTCTTACACCCTTGCCCTCTGTTCCGTCGAGAGGTTTGGGCCGATCTTAACTTTGTGGAGGATTTCTTTTACTGTCTCTGGCCGACATGCTCCCTCTTCACCATCGTTACATGTTAACAGGTAACATCTTCGCATTGGTGCAATGGGGGAAGAAGTCCAGACCCATGTCACTTTCGCCTGGGTAATCTTTGTTAGCTTGGAGCACACAGATGGGAGCTGTTTGGGTTTGGTCAGGATGTTGAGGATCAGTCATTGAGTGTCCATGTGAGACTTTCACATCCCCCCACTGAGTGCACCCGCGAGCCTAAGGCATGGTTCCAGGATCGCTTCCACTCAGCCCCATTTATGCCTCAGGTTTTACTGTGTTTGGGATTCACTGTTCTGCAGAAACGTGGTCAATATCGTGTTTGTTGTTACATCCAGTATCTGCAGAAACTTCCCTCGAGGGGGGTGCGTTATCTCCCCCTAGTGCTTCCATGCGCAACCTCCATAGAGGACTCAGAATCTTGAACCGGTTCTGCCAGAAGAACCATTTACGTAGACCAGGTTCTGCGTGCTGTTGTTTCAGCCACACAGCCTACTCTGTATCCCATTGTTCCTCCTCCTTATCCGAAACCTTTTGCCGTTCCCACTGCCTGCATTCAAGCTCTTCTTGCCGTTTGCTGGTCTCCTCTCTGCGGAGCATACAGGCTTCCCTGAGCCATTCCTCCAACTCAGCCTCCGTCACCTGCCATTCTTCCTTGCCAGCATCCATGCTTCACCCCGGAGTGTCATTAGCCATGCCGGGTTCACTGCAGGCTTGCGCCTACTCCTCATCCGGTACCACTTCAATCCGCGGAGCTTTGTACTTGTCCGGTAGTGAGTTCTCAGGCTTGTACTGTCCAGCATTGTTAGTAACAGAACTCTGAGCAGTAGAACAGAGGTCAGTGACTTCCCTATCCAGCGGGGTTAAGGCCTTTACAGTAACCCTGCCAGCTGGTTCCATGCTTTTTTTGAGAACCACCTGCACTTGGGCATTCGGGCTCAGTATGTCCTGCTGGCTCCTGTCCTCCAGCACGGGTATAGCTTTTGGTGTAATCACTGCTCCTAGTCCACTATTGAACACCTCTCCCCATTTTCCTTGCACACTGCTTTCCTGCTCTGTTAGTCACTATGCCTCTACCGGTTCATGACAGAGGCATGGAAAGAACAGTGTGGTGATTAGACAATTGGGTTGCAGGATCAGAAGTAGCATGTTGGGATGTTGGCACATGGAGGGTTTGTGGGTGGGATACGACAGAATTGTTGGCATTATATGCAATCACAATAGCCAATTAAGAACTGTATTTGATTGCCACTTATCATTAATAAATACAAAAAGCTGCAAATATTTATCACTATATGTCATGGGTCTTGATTAAGTTTTGTATGGAATACAATGGGGTGTGAGAATCATCTTTATTTCATCATTTGCAAATCCTGGTGAATAATTGTTGTCCATAACAAACCTGACACTAGTGATATTTTCATGGAAGCTCAGAGCTCCAAAAATACCAACAGATACATTATTGACAGTGAGATCTTTGGGCTGATATAGAATTTGATGCAAGGCATGTAGACCATGTTTGATAAGATCTTCCAATCAGCATAATACATATCATTAAGGTAACATTCAATAAATAGCTAATTAGTGCTCACTTTCTGTTTTCTTACTTTCCATCTCTGTGCTTCTGTTTCTCATTTCTATGTTCCAATTTCTACTTTTACACCATGTTTAAGCATCTTGAGTGAGTACCCAATTTCCCTTGACCAATTCTAAACCTGCACAAAGATCTACTTTAACTCTAACATGACATTACTTGGACTTGTAGTGCCCTCAGGGGGGGGGGGGGGGGTTTACCCTCGAACTATGTGCCACTTCTCCGTTACAACCTCCAACACTTGAGGATGTCCACCCTCAAGCCCAGTCCCCGCGGAGCTACCCTCCCAGGCATATACCTTCTCGGAAGCTTACACACTCGAGACCCATTTCCACTACGGCCTATTCGATCTTATGTTGATGTTCTAGGGAGTACAACTCCTACTACGCAACATTACTAGGTTCCGTAGTTCTACCTAACCTCCCTATGCCTTAGGGACTCCCCTGGACCTTATAGGAATCCCTTCATCCCAGCCACTACTAGGTCATTCCTGTCCTCAGTCGCGGTTCCCGTAGCTCCCTTCGAGCTCCAGCTTGCTCCTAGCATGCTACAGCATAAACCCTTTCATACCAAGCCCTACCTTAGGACCTATTCTGACCCAGGTTTTACAACTCCAAACCGGTCTCCAAACTCAATATGGCATAATGGTCAAGAAACTCCACTCCAATCAAGGGGGTGAATATCTCAGTGGTGAATTTACAGCAAACCTTGAATGATTAGGCACTAAGCATAGTCTTACGGTACGTGACACTCTGGATCACAATGGTATAGTGGAACGGAGTCACAGGATGCTACTCAATGGAGTATGCAGCCTCATGATATGATCTGGATTACCGAAATGGCTTTGGGGATTGATGATGGAGTACACAGTGTATGTATGGAACAGGACACCAAATAAGGCAAATGGAATGATTTGGCATGACCCCTGACATCTGCAACTTCCACATCTTTGGAAGCACAGTTTATGTTAAATGTGAAAAGGAGCATGGGAAGCTTGACCCTCAAGCACAGGGAGGACGTTGGGTAGCTAGAGTCCAATGGTTACTTCATCTATTACATTCCTCGATGACTTAAGCCAAGTTAGTTATTTGTTAAATGAGTAGTGTCATGAGCTGATTTACAGTGGGTGATGCAGGGGAAGTCTGGGTGGGATCTTACATGATTGGATTAGGCAGTGTGGTTGAGACAATAGAACAGTGAATTGACAGAAGGATTATACCACTGTTTAGGCTAGTTGGTTCATAGATTGAGTGGGAGATGGCATGAGGACAGGGCTGTGAATCACAGGCATAGCAGGAGCCTGACATGTGATGAACATGAATTTGGCCTTTGGTATCAAGTGTGTGTAGTTGGGCAGAGCAAGATTTGTGAGGAGTTTGTGCTGAGGATCCACAGCACTTTGCCAGTCACTATCATCAATACTCTGCACGTCTGATATGAGTGCTGCCAGGAAATTTAAAAGATCATGTACCACAGCATTCTCAAGCTCTCTCAATCATTCTGCTTTTGGCTCAGGTAATCTTGCAAGGATATTCAGATATGCACATACTAATTACATCAGAGTTAATGCTGACAGATAGTTACACAATATAGTTCTTGTAACAACAACAATGTCTGCTTTCCCAACAAGTGCATACATTGATGTACAGGTTACAAAGTTGCTGTATGTGCTGATGTTTGAGAGGCACTTTTATTCAAGAGACTATAGGTAAATGAGACATGATAAATTCAATGAAAATAACAGCTCCCTGTACAGATTGCTACTTCAAAAATACATTGACAACTCAGTACAAACAGTATCAACATTGAACTCAACATATGTTACTTTATCATTCTTTTTTGCAGCAAGTTGCATTGCTTGTTTATGAAGCAGCAGCTGTTCATTACTTACATCACCAAGCCAAATTATAATCTTTTCCATAACATGTGAACCTTTCAAAATAACCTCATATACAGTAGTCAAGCTCTGCAACACGTCCTAACATTGAACTATATCTCTGCAATGTGGCACAATATCACTATTTACTCACCTGTGATTCATCATTAAATGGTGCCAACACACATCCAAAAAATTTTAGGCATGTACACGTATCCATGAATTTCTGGATAACATCCAGTGGATATTGCTGTCGTGTATTTAATATCAGCTTCTGAATTGGTGTAGAACCTTCAAGAGCCTCCACTAATTTGTCTATGTATGGATCCTCATTATTTATTATTTCCACACATATCTGTGATATAGATCGCATCTGTGATCTACATAAAACACTTGCACTGGAAGGTGAACCAGTGAATCTTAACAGATTATGCAAAATATTTGAGTCAAGTAAATCAGCACTTTCTGCAAACTGATATTCTGTAACATGATATGTTAAGAATTTCAATGTTCCATGTCTGTGAAGAAAGTTGCCTATATGCAGTGACCCATTGTGATTATGGTAACTGAGCAGTTGTAGTGCAGGGAAGTGAAATGCGGGATTATCAAAAACCTCTTGTAATGTGGATTTTGAGTGAATAGACATCCGCATGTGTGAAAGACATGGACTATTGCATGCCAACTTCAACAATGAATCACAGATTGAGATATCATTATCTGAAAAAATAGAAAATCCACAACATGTATAACTTGCATATATCTCTGCTTACCAGGGTAATAGAGGTAAAAACCAAGGTCAATTTCAAGGATAGTCAGACTTGCTCTTGTGAGCTTGTTCTGCAAGAAATCAGTTGGATAAAAGTTGATACCAGCAATTCAATACTTACTAAGGTAGCAGTATACATTTTTACATCAGGAAAAGGACATTGAACAATCAGTTTCTCAATATTCATCAATGCCTTGGGCATCCGAAGTGGAAATATATCATTAATGGAAAGAAAAGATGATGATATTCCAAATGTCTGCAAAGATTTTGTTGGTGAATGTGCTGCTATTTTCTCCAATGCACGAGAAAGATGCTGCAGAATGAATTTTTTTGCAACTCTTCTCTTTTTTTGTGTTAACTCTGTGTCAGATATAGTGAGTGATCTCACAAAATGTGCTGGATGTGCTTCATGTTGAAATATGTTTCGGCGATAGGTAACTCCAATAGAAACTAATGAAGAACTAGGAACTGCTCTATACAATTCACTGTATACCAACATGCGGATTCTTCTTGAAACCAAAGCTACAACTGGAAGGTATTGTCTCTCAATCAGTGTAATAATTTCTAGAAACACCTCTGCTGTTGATGATACTTGATGAGCATAGGTTGCTCCCAACTTTGTTTCTAGTGACATTGTTGTACAACTTATTGTTATAAAAACACACTGTGATTAACTTACATATATACCTTGCAGCAATCACTTGAGTCATAAGCTGAACATTGTTATTGCAAATGACTTGCAACTGCAACACTATGCTGCTCCATTAAATGACTTCAAAGTGTCAATGCAACTACAGCATACGTAATGGATGACTATAGTGACATTGCTGTAATCAAGAGATCTATTTATAGTTATCCAAAATGACTTGATATGAATCTGTACAACTAATACTCAATGAGTCATATGAATTATATTAGAATGTCGACACAATTGTTAGAGTCATTTGGGTAAAATTTGACTCAATCAGACACTGTTTAATATACAATTGTTCAACAGCAATAGCAAGTCATGTATCAGTGTGAATCATTATAACTTTAGTCAGCATCCAAGTACAGAGTATAAATATGTTGCAAGCATTGTAAAATTATTCAACTCAAGTTCAGGCTTAAACTAATGTCTAGTATCAACATTGATTCTAAAGGTACAAAATTTTGTCCAATGTATTATGTGACTAAGCCTTGAATACCTACAGACGATCTTACTGATGTCTTAAAAGAAGTAAGTGGTATATGATAATTGTTGTTTTGAGGAATGTTTAACGGCTATACACAAGAATGGATTATACAGTTTTGAATCATTGCATTTTGAAAACCAGGAAACATTGTTTCATGAAGTGGAAGATTTGATTGAACACAATTTGCATTCACTATCACCTGTTGCTGCATCAATGCAGTACTATGGTGATATTTTCAAGAAGTCACCAATTCCAGATCCAAAGAGTGTTTCTATGCAGCGTGTTTCAGCTTTATCTGATTATGGTGGTTTATGGATGGTTGATACTATCCGTCAAATAGTCCACATTGCCATAGTTGCAGAACTCAGCTCAAATCCCGATGACTCAAAGTATGGGGAGTATCTTGACATGTCAATTTATAATCAGGAGGTCAGTTTATGCAATCACATGTATATTTTGATTGATATGGTTTACATTAATTGATCAGATTGGTATTGACTCATTCCGAAAAGCAACTGCAAAATTATTTTTCACTCAAGTCTATCCTCCTGCAAATTGTTCAGAAGACACAAAAGGAGTTTATGTTGTACACCAGAATCGATTTGATGCACTACTGAATTTCCTACAAAGTTGCACTACTCAACAAATTGATATGGCTAAGTCCAGTGACAGTATGCAGTCTAATCTATGTGTTTCACAATGAGTTGATAGGTTCTGTTAGAGAAATTGTATCCAGGACAAACAGTTGATGTTACTACCTTTGTACATCTCCATGATCTAGGACATTATGGTATACGTGGAAAAACTATGAATATTTTTCGTAATGTTCCATCGAAGAAAAACAGGGCATCATCAATGATAAATATACGTGGGAAATTGCCTGATCCACGTGAGTATGTTGTTCAGGTATTGATTTGATTTTTATATCATATGAAAAATAGGAGTTCTTCGTTCATCTGAGAAAGAGAAAAATCTTCAAGCATTAGAAGTATTAAAACCAGTTCATGGTATGTATCAATGACGTAGTTCTGTACCTCATTGATTGCATAATTACATATAGAGGTCAATATTGGAGACAGATCACTTGGTCATTGGCCAGATTCTGAAGGATTTATCCGATCCTTGGCAGAGAAACATGACCTATCTGGTGTTCAAATTCATATTCCTCCTATCTATGATGCACAAGGATCATTGGTTCACCCCATGGATTATAGTGATGTGTTCATTCCAGGTTGTATTGTTAAAGTAGTTCTAGGTTTTCATTTGTGTGTTTTCAACTATTATCTTATCTGTATTTACTGAACATTATGATATCTGATATAGGTGGGATATAACAAGAGCTAATAATGGGAGAGCAATTCCAAAGCCTGCAAGGATATTTTCAAACATTATCCAGAGTCTGCACATATTACCCCAAGATGAAGATGATGTCAGGTTAATGCTTCATGGTGAAGCAGTTGAAAGAGTCCGGTACCTGGATCAACAAAAGAATGAAAAACTTCTTGCAGAACGTGCACGTGAACTTGCCAGACAGGAGGAAGTCCTTCGCATTGAACAAAGTATGATTAAAGCAAAAACAGTAGCAGATGCAAAAAAAAAGAGATTGGAGGAACTTCGAACTCAGACAACTGGGAGTTATATGAAAGCAGTGGGTGATCTGGATTATGGACAAGGTATTATATGTTTTCTAATATGTGCAGCATGTGAAAATGTTCTGAAACCATGTTGAAGGCATAAAGCGAAAGCAATCAGATGACTCTTCTGTTGAAGCAAATGATACAAAACGTATTCAGGTTGATGTGAACAGCAATGAAAGACCCAGCAAAACCAAAAATGTAGAGATTGATGGTGATAGTACCAAACCTTAGAAGCAGTTATAATTGTGAAAATAAGAACTGATAAATGAATGCTAGTTAAGTCTGATACTTAGGATACTCTGTTGTAGTCAGAAAAGGGACAGTAAATTTGCAATAAATCTAGATTTGAAGTTGTCAAAATAATCATCTACTGACCACCTAGATAGTACCTTCACTTGGTTAAGAAATATCGAGGAGGCATGTTATAGTCTCCAAGAGACAATCAAAGCAGGGTGAAAATCAGTTGGGATTCCAATACAGAATACCACTACTTACATACATCATTGTATGACAGTATGACATAAGGAATCTGCATATGGTATAGAATGTCAGTGTACACTAAGGATAGACTAGGATAAGACATGATGACTGTATTAGTCATGTGTGAACAGCATAGTCACACTCAACACTCTCCATTGCTTTACAGTACAATAATGTACTTTGCTCAAAGCAATGATGATAAGCATTAAGCCATGCAAGCATGCTAAGTATTGAGTGACATAGCACAAATTTGATCTGTGAAATGATCTGCAGGATTGTTATTGTGTGGTCCCCCCTGGTTCCCCCCTTTATCCAAGTTGTTCTTTGAATAAAAACATGTAGCTTGGGGAAAATACTGTACTTTTGTTATTTTGCTTCGAAATCTAATCAGGGATTCAACGTATAGCCATAGGTTCCTTGACGTACATCGGACTTCTGCTCAGCAAGCTGTCTAAATGATCCCTGTAGAACTCGGGCGTTATTACAACATCAATGGCAGGTACTGACCAGGATGTGCAAATGACGGAAAAAAGATTCTTTTGCATATTTGCATCTGATTGAAGTCTATACAAGAAGACCCATGACATATAGTGATAATGCTTGAGCTCAGGTTCTTACATGCATCAATGCTAAGTGACAATGGAATGAATAACATGTGAATAAAAACAGCAGGTGATTTTGCCAATCTATTTCTCAGCTTCTTTTTTTGAACTTGTTTACTGAAGCTCTCATAGCATATTCAATGCTCATTTGGTACATTGCAAGAATGGCAAGCAATTAGTATCATTAGTGCAACCATACTACAAGGGGTAATGTTATGCACTAATCACTTATGACATGATTAGATGTTTTTTTCCTTACAACTGTGAAGACAATCCCCAACAGCTCAGTACTCTGAGATTCACTCTTTATTATTCTTTCTCACTACACATTCCATTTCTCTGTAATTTACTTTTATTTTCTCTACCCTGAAGGTACTAGGCATACAGCCCATAGTAGCTAGTCTAATGTTCAACCCCAATATGCCCAACAACTGGTATAAACACACTTGTACTGTACTTCAGTTCCTCAGTTTGATTGTTAACTTGGACTAATTTAAATCACCATCATTTGGTCTCTGTTTGTCCTCTGAAGTGTTAAGGCTTATTACTTTGAGTACTCTCCACTCCGGCCTTAGGACTTATAATTTTTTGCTCTGCTCCTCATTGTTGGTGTTACTGCTGTTACTGACTTGGCTGATCCTCACTTCCTTTCTGTATTTCTCTTCTACACTTGTCCTCCAGTGACAGTGCAATGGCAGTGTTGTTAATAACTTCATTCCTGTCCCATTCAACCCTCCACCCTTAGACATTCAATGGCCCTTGGCACAGCTTTCCAGTGTACAGAATCTTGGCAGTATAGTTATACTGACCAATCATTTTTATGCCTCCGAAAATTCAACCTCAATTTAGAGCTAATTCAGAAGAAAATACTTTCTTTACCACAGCCCGCTCTTTTACCCCTTTTCCAAATCCATTTTTGCTATTAGTCAACCATGTCGCTGTAATTGTGGCTTTGGTCAGTGTCATGCCTTGACCACTACTAGACCAACCTAACACCAACCCACAATCATAGACCACACAAGGTCCTAACCCTTAATCTTGGAACCATCTCCATACCTCCCCAGGAAGATACATCTCTCCCGCAACCATCACCCCTATCACAACCTTCACAACCCGGCTGAACCTCCCTTGAGATATCCAATAACCCCATTCGCACACCCGAGACCTCCACCAACATACTGAGACCTCCATCAACATACCGAGACCTCCATCAACACACTTGGTAAACACGCAACTGTAGATCACAGTCGATTTGACAGTCAAGGCCTCTAATGTTCTGTTGTCCACTTCCTGTACCTATATAATTATCCTTCATAGCACAAATATCCCCAGCTTGGTATATTTTGAACACACATCCTTTTGCATAGGTCCAGTCCCTGTCCCTTTGTACCTGCTACCTATACAGATTTCTCTTTACTGTCAGTTTCTCCATCTCAGTTTCTCTCTCCTCTTGTCTATTGTCTCTCTGATTGTCTATATGGTCAAATATACACTTTTACTTCAAGTCTAAGCCATCCAAGTGAGTCTCCGAGCTCCCTCAAACAATACTAAAGCTCCCCACAGAATTGGTCTTATGGTGGAGTTGGTGTGACTAGTTTACATTGTAGCATGCTAGAAGCAAGCTAAAGCTCAAAGGAAGCCATGAGAATTGTCACCGAGAACTGGAATGGCCTAGTAGTAGTATGGGAATGTAAAGTGTCAACCTTGAAGAAGTTCCTGAGAGGTCCAGGGAGTTCCCTAGGATGATAGCCAGAGTGAGTTGACACAGAGGAACATTGAGAGGATGGCATGTTATGAACTGTGAGAGCTATGTGTGAGTTATAGAACTGGGAGCTCAGGATGAGAGAGGGTGGTGGCTGGTATTCCCAAGAGGTGGAGGTGGTAAGAGAGAGGCAACACACGGGGGGTGTCATGGGAAGCTTCAACATTATTCAGAATAAAGGTTGCAGGACTTGTGGAGCAAGTAGGAAGCTTTAAAGAAACATTGGGAAGGTTGGCTCATGTAAGACCTGAGTCAGTAATGGTGTTAAGGGTGGTAGCTCCTCAGTTTAATTATCAATTTAGATCCCTTTCGAAGTGAGGTTATCCTCTTCAACATCCTTGACTTGAGACTTCCCTGTACTCTTGTCAATCTCTAGTCTTCTAGCCTAAGGACTTATAAGGTCTTTGGTTCCCTCCTCGTCACCGGCAATACTGCCGCTCTGACTTGGCTGCTCTTGGCTCCTCTGTTCTCTACTCTTGATCTCCGGGGACTAGTGGCGTAACGGCGGTGTTGTTAATAACTTCAGTACTGTCCCATTTGGCCCTCCGCTCTTGGACACCTTGTGGCCTCTGGGGTTACTTGGTGTACATGATCTTAACAGTATAATTAAACTGAATCCGTTAGCAGGCTGAAGCTTGAAGGGAGTTATGGGAGACTGCGACCGAGGACAGGAATGACCTAGTAGTGTCTGGGGTAGAGAGATGTGACCCTTGAAGGGGTTCCTATAAGGTCCAGGGAGGTCTGTAAGGCGTAGGGAGGGGAGGTAGAAATACGGAGCCTAGTAGTATTGCGTAGTAGAAGTTGTACTCACTAGAATGTCAACGTAAGATTGAATAGGCCATAATGGAAGTGGGTCTCGAGTGTGTAAGCTCCTGAGAAGATATACGCCCGGGAGTGGAGTTCCTGGGAACTGGGGCTTAGAGGTGGATGTCCTTGAGTGTGGGAGGTTGTAACGCAGAAGCGGTACGTAGTTCGACGTAGGAGGTGGCTTCAATGTTACCTAGATCGAGGTCCCAGAGCTTGTGGAGCAGTTGGAGAGATCGAGGAGGCTTGGGGAAGGTTGGCTCACCAAGGCGTTAGCCATTGGGGAGCTTTAGTATTGTTTGAGGGAGCTTGGAGACTCACTCGGATGGCTTAGACTTGAAGTAAAAGTGTATATTGGATCGTATAGATGATCGTAGAGACAACAGAGGAGAGTAGAGAAAAACAGAGATAGAAAAAGAGAGAGTAAAGAGAAATCTGTATAGGTAACAGGTACAAAGGGACAGGGACTGGACCTATGCAGAAGGGTGTGTGTTCAAAATATACCAAGCTCAGGGCATTGATATTACCGAGGATCCTTATATAGTTGCGATGAATAGGTAAAGAAACATTGTAGTAAACGAGCATCTAATGGGGATGGCATGAAGTGTGGAGCCCATGAGCCTAATTGATAGGGGATTCTCTGATGGCATACGTGAGTCTCGGGACTGGTGGTTTGTGGGAGTTTCATAGGAGGTTATTTTAGGAGGTGCGGAACATTATGGTCTGTCAAGTCCATGCCTCGGGCCTCCATTCCGCTGCTCGGTATTCCGAAGATCCATCCTTATTGTAATCTCTCCTTATTGTTCTTTCTCGCTACACATACCCTTTCGTTCTAGTCCCTCCTTATTGTCTTTTACTTTACCCTGCAGGTACTACACGTATAGCTCCTAGTAGTTAGTCTGGCGCTCCGCACCGATGCACCGTTCCGTAGATATAAATACTGCCTGTACGCTACTGTAGTTCCTCAGTTTAATTATCAACTTAGATCTCCCTTCCCAACTTAGTTCCTCTCTCAGTCTTCAGGCTCAACGCCTTGAAGTACGTTCTACTCAACCTTAGGACTTAAATGTTCTTTGGTTCGCTCCTTGTCACCGGCGATACCGCCGCTCTGACTTGGCTGCTTCTCAGCTCCTCCCTTCTATACTTCCGACCTCCGGGGACTAACGGCATAACGGCGGTGTTGTTAATAACCTCACTACTGTCCCACTCGTCTTCCGCACTTAGACACCTTGTGGCCCTGGCACGGTTTCACGGTGTACATGATCTTAACATGGTCCCAAGAAGGGATTGGGGAGGTTGGGAACTATGTTAAGGAGCTTGTGGGCTATGTGACTCAGGGCAAGGCATGACATGTGCCTTCTGCCACCAACACTGTTGATGCAAAGGTTGCTGTTTTGCTACCGGAACCTTCGCCATCAGTTTCACTGACAATTCTGGAAGCCCCTTCTGGGGATTCACTCCGCTCTCGCTCTTGGTTGACTACTGCTCCTACTCTCCCTCCACTTCCTCATTCTATTCCAGAAGAGTATGCTGAATTTGCAGACGTTGTTAATGACATTGCTGCAGACTTATTACCAGAACAC